CCCCCCCCCCCTCCCCCTATTTTCCCAGTCTTCTACCCTTCTGTTCATTTCAAAAAAAATAAAAAAAAAAAATTTTTTTTCAACTTAAATTTTTCAACTAATTTTGAAACAAAAAAATTTTTGTGTATATTAGGTAACTGTCTGTCAATTTTTGAAAGCGTATGAACGACAGCAGATAAAATAGGCAGAAAACAGAAAAACCGAAGATATTTTTATGATAAAGTCGATAAATAATTGACGTTTAACTGAACAACGGCTTCAATTTTTATTTTTCCACTTTTTTCCGCCTTTTTTTTTTTTTCTTTTGCTGTTTTACTGTTGGCTTTTTTTTTTTTTATATTTCGTACTTATGCACTCTAAAAATATTATCCGCTTGATAACGATTTTCATTTTTAGTTCTTCGTCTTTTTTTTCCCTTCACTTCTTTGCGATTTTCAATAGAGCCGCAAGAAATCAAAAGAAGATTTTAACTGAAGATGAAAGAAAAAAAGAACTTCTTGTATATATACCTTTTTAAACCCGAAAGAAAACTTATCTCACTCATCTATGTCTTCAACTTTATCAGCATAATGCCAGCTTAATTACCAGAATTGTAAGCCTTAATACGGGAAAAGACCGTAATTAGCAACAATATTTACCCGAAAATCACCAGTGGTATATTGATGCTTTGAAAACCACAGCTAAAAAATTCCAATTTAACAATTTCCAAAAGCTTATCCTTGATAGAACACTTTTTTTTTGTTAAGTGTTCATTTTACCAAACACAATGCAAAAAAAGAATTTTTTGGTCAGTCTTACTTTTGTTCTTAATTTAGCTGTCTTATCAAAAAGCACAAATTTTAAGGGTGTTGCAAAAGAAAAATAAAAAACAAAATTCATTGTTTTACCGTATTGTCAAAATACAATTTTGATTGATTGAATTCCATAGAATTATTTTAAGTTAATAAATTGAGAATAAATGTCGAAATTTCTTTCATCCGAAGCATTTCTTTTACTTTTTTTTTTTTCAAGTTTCTCAAAAAAGCCCATATTTTATCGACAGTTGAACTCAGTCAACAAGACAATTCTGTTTTGCTTCAACGAAGCAGCAAAAAAGTTTTTCAAGACACACAAAAGAGAATGAAAGAAAAGAAATATATATCTTTGAACTGTAATTACAGGTCGATCATTCAATTTTCAATAGTTAGGAAAGTTGACTGAATATTGCTCTTTGCAACTGTGCAAAAAATGAAAAAAGATAAACTGTGACAAAGAAAGTGAAAAATAAATTAGAAATATATTTTAAAAAAAACTTACTAAAAAATAATTTATAAAAATCAAAAATTCATTTTTAGCGATTGTTAAGTTCTCTAACAGTAATACTGATAAAGTTTTTCGCCAGTTGTTTGCCAGTTTTTATCTGCTTTAAGAAGAGAAAAACAAGTGGAAAAGCGAAAAGTG